CCGGCCCATGTTTCCTATAGTCATCCTCTTCCTGCTGTTACAGCTGAAGAGAGTAAGAAGAGCTTCTATAAGCCCCTTACTGGATTAAACCCCAGGTGGGCTTTGGCTTTGCTAGCTAACCACATTCCTCTATACTCCTCCCCAGCCACCTGTCCCTGCTTTCATCTATTGTATGTTCCATTTTTACACTCGAGTTTTGTCAGGGGCTCCTTTCTAATTCATGCAGTCCTACTGCCACCTTTGCTTGATTTCTTGCTCATTGTCATGGACCATTCTTGAGCTGGAAGGATGTGATCCTCGGAAGGCAAGGCCACTAAGCATTTGTTGGTTAATGGAATACCATTCCTTCACCTGCTACAAATTTTCTGCATGACACTAGCCAGACTATTCCCAGAGAAGTGACATTAGTACAGTCTTCATTTTGTGCATGCTTAACTCAAAATGGTATTATTAGACTTACTGACATTCCCAGCACTTGCCTCCACTAGTCAGTGAGAGCTCAGCTTTGTGTATATTCTTCTATAAACTATGAGGAATCTTGTACCAACCTGCATCTGGACTTTCATCTGTAAAACGAGATATCAACGTATTCTTCTCTTTCAAGGCTTTTCACTAATGTTTTGTCAACCACTCAGCCATTACACTGATGACCAATAAGCCTAAGCAGTCTATTCAGGCTGGAGCTTGTAAAGTAAACACAGGTATGGCATAAATCTATCACCAAAAAGTTTTTAAATTATAACAATAATCTGTGTGTGTATAGCTGCTTGTTAAATAAGCACTGTTCATTCTATATGCCAAATGAGAAAGATACATAGAAAAAAAATTATGTTACCATGCAAGTGAATACATCAGAATGTATATTCACGTCAAGGATAATTAAGGCTGTCCATGAAAACTTAAGGCCCATTTCTAGCATGTTGTACAAATCCTTACAAACAGCTTATGCAAAGTCCAAGTCATCCTCCAGACCACTGGCCCCCTACATATCCTCTTACCTATTATATCCAGAACATACATTTCAGACACTACCTTGCAACGTCAAGTCTCAACACACTGTGCAAAGACGCAGCACAAACTTGTAATTTCCTGCCATTTGCCATTCAGAATCCACAGGTTCTATTACGACTCCCAGGAAATCCCCACTACTACATTCATCCACTGCAATTTCTCTATTTCTTTCCTTCTGACTCCCCCAACGAAAGGCACACATCCAACACACTTCTATTCAAGCTTCAGTATGTATCTCAAGAAGACGACCCTTTGGAGGAAGGGCAGCCAGCCTAACAGTCTGGGCCCACCTGAACAGGCCCCCACAAAATACTCCTCGACTCAAGGAACCCCACAGGCGCATGTGGCAGACTAAGTAGGCCATTTCCTATTCTTCTCATTACCTCTCTTCTTGGAGTGACAACCACCATTCAACTGGCTACGCACGACCTTCAGCACACAATTCCATAAACATCCCTATAACACAACTGGATATAGGTACATCTTTAAGAAGATTAGCTTTTCCGTCAAGCCGCAGGTGCACATCCAACCACATGTTTATACCTGACTGAGCCCAAATCCATCACATGGCGAATGCATCTTCATTTCGGGTATAGGACATTTACTGTTCTGTTGCTTGATGAACGAGCAACCATGAAATATGGTTCCTGGGAGAGGGCTTGGTGGAAAAGTTTGAAGCTATTGTGTCAAAAGTACCAACCTAGCCTAAGTAAGTTCAGGAAATAAGGAAAGAGTTCGCACATTTGTGGAATGTACTACTTTAATTTTAAAGTAGTAATTAGAAAACTTATGCCAGTATAAGCCTTGAATACTGACAGTGACAGAATTAAAGCAAATGTTAGCAGGCATTAAACATTACATATTACTTGTTTCTTAAAAAGACTGCCAAACTATAGACACTTATTTTCATATATCAATACTACATTTATTTGTTCTCCTTTAATCAAAACAACAATAAAAAGGTGCTGAGGTGCCTCATAAACATTCACAGCCTCACTTCCTACTACCTTGAATCCACTTTTTTCAATTTTCACTTAAAAAGCAACCTTAGGAGTTAAGTTCTGAGCCTCAGATGTAGCCCTCTATACTCTGCAGCTTCAGTTAAACCAGCTCTCCGGCCCTAGGTGTATTACACTATCCTGAAAGCTTTAAAGGTTACACATGTCCCATCACTTTCCTGCCTAAACTTTAAAATACATTCACTAGAGTACACAGACTTGACTGATATGCAAAGCTCAGTATCAAGGAAACAATTCTTCATCCCTGTTTGTGTTTGTCTATATGTCTATAAACATACATAAAAACATCTCAAACCTGACTTTTAACATCTACCTTTCTGTGAAATTTTAAAACACCAAACTGCAAGCTAGAGCTTAACTGCTGACTAACACAAGAAAAGGTCTCTCACGTCAGTGTAGCAAGTCTACGCAAAAGTTCACCACTTTGCAAAAAAGAAGATACTAAGCACTACATTTCTTCCTCCAGAAGTGAGGATCCATTAGCATCAAACCAATTTGTATTAACTCGGCCTATTCGTCAAATAAGCAGAAGCTGGCCTGTCATAAAAATATTGTCTACCGCAGGAATAAATAAAAGCATATCCATACTTAAGAATGGAAGGGAAATTTCACCAGGTCATCTCTTGGTGAAAGTAGCTACATTTTTGATAAAGGTGTATTTGAAAAGGATGCACAGCATTGATGCACAGCTAGAATTAAAGAGAGTTGGTTGCCCTTCTGTAACCCATTAGAAAGTTCCAAGACGAACATTCAGAAAGTTGACAAAGAAAAAAAAAAAAAAAACCTGAAGTACAGAAACCAGATAGGAAGAATAAAAAACCCACAACACATGCACAGACAACAGCAAAGCATCAGCTGTTACAAAATTCTGATCAGTATGAAGAATAAAAGTAAGAATTTAGAGTGAAGCAATCATTTCAATGTCTTTTTTTAAAAAAAGTGTAGTTATTGCTGTACTACAGGTATTAAATCGAGGTCCACCTAACTCGCTGCTTTGTTCATCGCACTAAGCTATCAGAAAAAACATGGTTCCAGGGCTTAAAATTAAAAGTAGCATCACTCTTTTTGGCCTAAAGGCCACAACAATTTAAGGTCACAACAAATTCTGAAGTACCTCTTAGTAATAATTTTGAAGTCTTATATCTAGCAAGAATAAAACAGCAATTATCACATTTCAGACAGGAACTGTGATGCTGTACTAGTAAGACTTGACATTCAGAAAGAACAACAAATGTATTCCAAGACTTTTCTTCCTCTGCTGTGGCTTGCAACATTGCTGATATTTAGCCAGAGTTGAGCTGATATTTAACCACAGCTGAATTATTAGACAGATTCTACGACATACATTCCTACATGCCCCCACTGACAGAAAAGTATCTGACTTGAAAAAAGTTTAAGTCAGTACTTCAAAAAGAATAGCAGGAAATGCCAACACATCATACTACTCTGACAATTTATTATGCAGAAATGGCAAGTTTCAAAACTATTTTCCTCTTAATATTCAGAATCACACTTTCTGATAATATATTTTGATTATTTTACTATTTTATACAGGGCCAAAACCAAAAAAGGGTCAAAACCAATTAAAAATGTGCTTTAACATCAAAGAAATGCAACTATTACCCTGACGTGGTTTTGGCTAGGATAATTTTCTTACTAGTAGCTGGTACAGTGCTGTGTTTTTTGGATTTAGTATGAGAATAATGCTGATAGCAATGACTAGAACATCAGCATGTTAAGTAGCGCTTACCCTAAGTCAAGGACTTTTCAGTTTCCCATGCTCTGCCAGCGAGGAGGGGCACAAGAAGACAGGAGGGAGCACAGCCAGGACAGCTGACCCGAAGCCGCCAAAGGGATATTTCATACCATAGAACGGCATGTCCAGTATATAAATGGGGGGAGTTGGCTGGGAGGGGCCGATCGTTGCTCGGGGATGGGCTGGGCATCGGTCAGCGGGTGGTGAGCAATTGTATTGTGCATCACTTATCTTTCTTGCATTTTACTCCTCCCTCTCTCTCTTTGTTGTCTCCCTTTTAAT